TCCTCGGGGAAGTTCACATTAAGCTTCAGCAGACGGTCCACAAATCTTTGCATTTTCTGCATGTGGCCCGTGATGGGTTCACATCCTTCATTCAGGTTGTTATCATGGAGGAGATGATTTCATACCTCTCTTTTCGGGCACTTTGATGGTATCTTTCCATCAAGTCTTGGTGCATTTCAAAAGGGTAGAAGTCCTCATAGGACTTTTGGAGTTCTATTGTCATGGTGGCCATCATGATGCATGCCACTTTGGTGGCATCCCTTTCATGTGCCCGGAGGTCTTCTACTAGGGAGCTGCAGTGGTCTCAACAATCTCTTTAAGCTCCTTATCGAGGACATATTCCTTCTCCTCGTAGTAGGTAATCATCTTGATGTTTCTGATCCATTCACTCAAGTTGGATCCATCAAAATTGACTTTCCCATATAGGTTCATAAGGGTAAAGGAGCCATCAGGATTAGAGCCAGAAACAACATTGTTTGAAGACATCTGAGTAAGAAGAAACACAAGATTAGTTTAGATATTAATTTAGTCCTTAATAAAACACCCAAATGTATTATTAAGGCTAGGACCCAATCACACTATATTATACTTAGAAGAGGTATGTCGTAATCTAAGTAATAACATATTTGAAAGGTAGGTGAATGAAGATTCACCAATTTCCACCAAAAACGAAATATTAATATATAAAGTTTTTAATTTGGTTCTTAGAAATTCCTAGATTCTTTTGAGATTCAATGAACTTTTCAAAGGCATGTTTCAATCTCGAGTGTGCCCTCAAGTTTTGTGACTGGATACCGAGGATCACAAAACGAGGTGTGAAGTAACCATGTAAATCACTTGGTACCCTCAATGTTTATTACTCAATCGATGTGCCGGTTAACCACACGCGCTTCACCGACCTATAATAAACTTTAAGTCACCCTTTACCTACTTTGTTAAGTTCAAGTTAGTGTGTCGATTAACCACACACACTCCACTAACGACTTAAACAAAGTGTAAAGTTTAATTTCATAGATTAACACCTTATTCACATTTTCCTAAAGTAACTAAGATTGAGAATTTAATTAAAACATTTAGTTACTTTATAATTATCATTATACTTTTAATGAGAATTTAAAAGTCCTTGTCCTATCTGTTTGGCTAACGACCCTCCACCGATCAAGGAAGCGGTAGGTGAGAGTGGACACCCATTAAGATACCATTTTATAGGCAACAACCTTATACCCCCTTTAAAGACCGACTTCGTGAATGAGGCGTACTAGCGGTAAGACGACTTGATATTACACACACATATATATATATATATATATATATATATATATATATATATATATATATATATATATATATATGTATATATTAACTTATAATATTATAAAGTATAAGGGTTGAATATTAACTTTTAAAATTCAAAGGGTTGGAACTAAAATTTTAATCATGACTTTAGTTGTTCCAAAACTTGAGGGAAAGTTTTGTAAACTTTCAAAACTTTTCATTTCTTGTAACTTATGAATTAATTGAGTATTAAAAATGAAGACTCTTCATTTTTATAACCCCTGTGTTCTTTTAATGGTTTTTTTTTAAAGTGTGACCTTTGGTTTCCATAACTTGAGGACAAGTTATGGAATCCATTAAAACACATAGTGATCATGAATTAAACTACCAAGTAGGTTACAAACTATTCCTATGATTATCTAATCTTCATAAGTTCAAGAACATGAATTTGAACATTTCAAGAATAAAAAATTACTCATAAAACTTGTAGTTTTTGATAATTGTCATTGTAAATGGATTAGCATAAACATTACACCATCTAAAACAAGTTTTAAAACATCAAAACAGTTTAGGGTAATGTTTCTAGTCCATTTCCAACAACAAAAGTCGAAAATCTGTTGTCAGGGCCTGGTACTCGTCGAGTGCATGAACCTACACGACAAGTAGGATGAATTTTCACTTGGACTCGTTGAGTCCTCTGATGGACTCGGCGAGTCCACTACTCAGACAGCAAGCAGTTTCGATTTTTAACACATTTTTGCACAAATAACAAACAAACAAGCCTAGGCTCTGATACCGCTAATGGGTTTTGAGCATTCTAACGCTTCTTAAGTGTACATGCAACCCTCTGATACCGCTGATGGGTTTTGAGCATTCTAACACTTCTTAAGTGTACATGCAACCCTAATAAACCTTGGATCTATGTTTGTCTAATATTCATTCAAAATTGATTTCCAAGGTTCATGATCCTATCTAGCATACATGGGGAAGATTTTAACTTAAATGATAGATAGAATAACATACCTTGTTGTTGATTTTGATTCCTTGAAACCTTATGAGCCTAGCACCCCAAGTGTGACACCTCAAATGCTTCACACAACACCAAATGTTATGGAGTAAAATTGGAGAGAAAGTATAACACTAAAAAATTGGCTCTAGCCCTCAAGTATGCATGTGTAGCCAATTTTGGGAGATTTCACATGGTTTATATAGTGTGTTGCATTAGGTGAAACCCTAATGTAACATGACTCTTCATTTCCATGACCCATGGATTAACTCCATGGTGCATCCATAGAGTATCCTTTGGGTGGAACCCAACTTGATAATCCATGGAACCTCTTAGCCCACTATATAAGTTATGGATGATTTACATAATCAACCCATATATTTAATTAGTTATCTTTCGATCACTTAATTAATTCTAAATTAATTCTTGATCAAACTAATTAAATAATATTATTAATATTTTAGAACTTATAATATATTAATAAACCATAAGTGTTATTTCTCTCATTTAGTTTATCCAATGCATGGTTCTATGCAACCCAAATGAACCATGCTGGGTCAGGTCAAGTACATACCAGAAATAGTTATGGACTTAGACACCTTATCTAACAATTTCATCTCATCTATTTGTTCTTATCATACTCAATACATGGTTTTCTCATACTCTTACCCTTAGCATGCATTCTCATACTCTTGTTACACTTACATCTCTATTCTCAACTTATCATACCTTAGTATTCTATTCTTATCTAGACCTAACGGTTCAATCTCATATGATAGCTTCATTTATCACATGGGGGAACGACACCACCCTATAATTACTATGTACACTCATCCAGACTTAACTCCATTCCTTTGACCTCTCGTTGATCCTTACATATTCTTCTTATATTGAATCCCTGAATGATTCATTACTCTTAATCCCTCACAAATAATATCTAAGTTCTTTTTAAAGAACTCTCTCATGTTGTTTCACGCATGGAACAATTCCTCTACCTCTTCTAACCACCACAATCTCATTCCTACATAAATCATCTATCTACATTCCCAAAAGAATTATAATCTTATTCCTAAATCATCATTCCATTCTTCTCAAAATCTCCTTTACACATGTTATGGTCTAACTATCCTCTTACATAGCACTTGTCCTACGTACATACGATCCCCTTATCTTATCAAGAGACCTCCTACTACTCTTATAATACTTAAATCACTAATTACTTAATCTCTATTTTTTTAATCTCATTCAAGTAAACAAACAACATGCATAATGAGCCATCAGCCTAACTAGATTGCCTCATCGGGCCATCAGCCTATCTAGACCACTTTCCAAGCCATCGACACATCTGGACTGCCTCACAGGCCTTCAAAGTATTCAGACCACTCGTCAGGCCTCTGGCCTCACTACTAGAAAAATAGCCTTTTACGACGCTCATTGCGCGTCGTAAAAGGCTCAGACGACGCGCAAATACGCGTCAAGGAAGGCCCTATCATAAAGAGAGATGACGCGTTTTTGCGCGTCGTCTATAGACGACGCGCAATTACGACGCGCGTTTACGACACGCAATGTGTATCAAGGAAGGCCCTGTCATAAAGGAAGATGACACGCATTCGCGTGTCATAACCTTACGACGCGCGTGTTAATGACACGCAATGCGTATCAAGAAAGCCCCTGTCAAGAAAGGCCATGTCATAAATGAAGATGACACACACTTTTGCGTATCATAATTTTAAATGTTTTTAAAAAAATATTATTTATAGATTTACTTATTTTCAAATTAAATTTGTATTTAATGTTTCATAATAGAAAATAAAATATCATATACAAAAAATAGAATCCATTGCATAAATTTAATGTCATACAATTCTATTTCTTACAATATATAAATTTGCATCTAATCTACTATGTACATCAAATTCCAACTAACTAAAGTTGCATCTTGCCTTTCATAATTTTTTAAGACTAATGCTTCAAACAACTGATTATATGGATAAGCAGTTGTACATTGGCCCATCTCACTCAATAATGACTTAGCCAAATTCAACTCCAAGTCTTTACTGCATCTTACTGATAATGCTGCAAGATTTAAATCAAATTCAACTCTAAGTCTTTACTAATAATCAAAATCCCAAGAGCAACATCCATTGTAGAGGCAAGTTCATTTTTAAAACAAAACATAGTGTTTATAATGATAAGGATGTGGAGGGTATACTGTAAAAACTCAGACATGGCTATAATGGAGACAACAGGGATAGATATATATACCTTAAACAAATTAGCTTCCAGATCAGATTGAGAGTTGCAAAAAAACTAATATACATTAAGGTAGTATTTGGAGGATGTAATATGATGACATACACGTCCAGAAGGCTATTATCTATGAGCTTGACCAACACCAAGGCATTATTGGTAGAAATAATGTTACTATTTGTAGGGTTGATAGGGATAATGTATCCTCACTTTGTTCATGTACTGAAACTCCCTGTTGAATATATTATGTTTTTCTATGCATATGGGAACATGGGGAGGCGTCCTATGGGGGTAGATTTGTCATTTGACATACCGGTGACTAAACTGGAAGTGAATACAAAGCATTTTTATGAAATTTTTTGTTCATATGAATTCCTTCTACATAGGGCAATTAAGCAAACTAACTTGACTAAGTTGTGACATGGTTTTTAATTGAAACTAGTTTCTAGATGATGAATGGAATATAAATTCAAGTAGCATTTTGAAGTTTGAACAACAGATATGTTGTTACCTTAACAAGGCCAGGTGGACCAATGATAATAAGATCTTCAAGTGCTTCTACTTTGTCTAGTGATAAGGTGTTGTATAACATATCAACATCCTCAAACTCATCAAAATCCTCCTGCAGATGAAATGGTTTGTGGTGGTTTTAGATGCTTTGAGAAAAGTGAAAACAACAAGAATCTTTTATCATGAATTTGACAAGGTGGCATAGAGGAGAAAACCTCAAAGAAACTATTGAGAAAATGTGAAAGGGAAAAAGTATATGATGACCTGATTTCGTTCCACATAGTCATCAATGAAGCCCTTAACATCATTGACTTGTTCCTCCAGAAATAGGAGGCATACCAAGAAGGGTGCTGCTTCCTTGTTGTACTTGTTGGAATCTCTGTAGAAATTTCTCTATTTGATCTGGTGCTATTTCAGTTCTTCCACAGAAGTGTCCCTATTAAAAAAAAAGTATTTTAGTTAATGTAGATACAATGTGTATTATAGAAAATATATATAGCATACCCCTTCATGTTGAGTTTGGAAGGAACTACCAGGTCTCCACTGAATGCCAGGAACACCAGAAGGTGAAAAGACTCTTGTACCCAGGCCACCACCCTCACCACCATTTCCATTATCACCATTAGTACTTTTGACACCACTTTGTGGCAACATCATTCTGCTACTCAAAGATGAAACAGGAGGATGCTGCTGAACCATTCTCTCATCTATCCCTAACATAGGCCTCTTAGCCATTTCAGAAGCTTGACCAACACCAAGGGCATTATTGGTAGAAATAATGTTACTATTCGTAGGGTTGATAGGGACAATAACTGAAGATTGACTTGTCAAACTGGTCAAACTACTGTTGGATTAGTGTCTAAGTCCATAACTATTTTGGTATGTACTTGACCCGATGGTGCATGGTCCTTTTGGGTTGCCTTCACCGAAGCAACTTGATAGGATTAATTATGGAGAGAAAGGATTAAATATGATTTATTAATATATTATGGGAATAATATATTAAAGGAGAAATCATATTGTTTAATTAATATTAGTCAATAATTAATTGGTAATTAGTTTTTTGACTAAAAGAGATTAATTAAACTTAAGGGACTGGAATTGTAATTATAAGATAATTGCAATTTGGGCCATGGATTGCCGTGTATTAAGGGATGGACGAATTCTAATGGGAAGCCCATAAGGAAATCGTCCATGGGCTTAATAAAAGGAGTCTATGGGTTGCTTAGGGCTTAAGCGTCCAAATTAGGGTTTCCTTGTTAGATAACCCCAATAGCCCAACTATATAAAGACCCCTTAAGGCTCAAAAACGTGGCTAAGCTTCTTGCTAGGGTTTCTACACGTTTTTGGTAGCCTCCATCCTCTCTCCTCTTCATCCTCTTGCTTATGGTGTTTGTGAACCATTAGAGGAGTGACACTTGTGACTCTAAGCCTTCCAAAGTCAATACAAGGAGGAATTGGGATTGTTATTGCTACATAACAATCAAGGTATGATCTTAAACCTAATTACATGTTAATATGATTACTTTCATGCTAGAATTAGGGTTTATAGTCTTGGATTCAAAGCATGTACAATAGAGAAACCTAGATCCAAGGATTAGGGTTTGTATGAGCACATAGGATGTCTTATGACCAAAACCCATCAGTGGTATCAAAGACTAGCTTGGTTTCAATTGTATTAATGCATTGTATAACTGAAAATTTCGATTTTATGGATTGTGGAGGCTGGACTCGCCGAGTCCATGGCTGAACTCGCCGAGTCCATGCAGACTCGACGAGTCCATGCCTGACTCGACGAGTCAAGTCGTCAGATAATGCTTATCTCGGGATTTCTTGCTGTTTTTGCATATGGATAGTTACCTTATCATGTTAGTGTTGGATTAGTGTCTAAGTCCATAACTATTTTGGTATGTACTTGACCCGATGGTGCATGGTCCTTTTGGGTTGCCTTCACCAAAGCAACTTGATTGGAGAAATGAATAAAGAGAGAAAGGATAATATGATTTATTAATATGTTATAAGAATAATATATTAAAGGAGAAATCATATTTTTTTTTTAATTAATATTGGTCAATAATTAGTTAAGAATTAGTTTTGTGATCAAATGTAATTAATTAAACTAGAGGGGCTGATTTGTAATTATGTGATAGTTACAAAATAAGGTAAGGATTATCTTATTTATATGGTGGACGAATTTAAGGTTGGAAAGCCTTAGAATTCGAGTATGATAAGGATTCAAGGATTATCTTATTGGTTGCTTAATGGATAATCAACTAGATAAGGATAATGACTGAAACCCTATCTCTACACCTATATAAACACCCCTAGGGTCATGAATTCGTGTATCCCTTCCCAAGAGGTCCTAGATACGAATTCTAACCTCTCACCTCTCACTTTATACCTTCTCCACTTGCTTATGGTGTTTGTAAGCCATTAGAGGAGTGACACATGTGACTCTAAGTCTTCCAAAGTCAATTCAAGGAGGAATTGGGATTGTTATTGCTACATAACAATCAAGGTATGATCTTAATCCTAATTAGGGTTTGTATGAGCACATAGGATGTCTTATGACCAAAACCCATTAGTGGTATCAGAGCCTAGCTTGGTTTCAATTGTATTGATGCATTGTATAACTGGAAAATCGTTTTTTGGGCTTTATGGCTGAGGAACTCGGCGAGTACCATAGTGTACTCGGCGAGTAGACCTCAACTCGGCGAGTACAGTGTGGTACTCGGCGAGTTCGAGCGTCAGATAATGCTTATCTCGGGATTTCTTGCTGTTTTTGCATTTGGATAGTTACCTTATCATATTAGATCAATATAAATCCGATTTTATGATATATATATGACTATATTCTTGATCTAATTAAAGATAATTATTAATTAACAAGATAATTGTTTCCTTATAAGATAATTGATTAATTATTTTGAGTAAATTGATAAATTGTTTTGCAAGAAATCATTAAACAAATCAAATATGGATAATTATGTAACTAAATGTTAGTTTAGATTATTTGTTATTTGATCCTTGTTGTTATGAAAGGGTTTCATATTTTCCCCTTTAGGTTTTATAGTTTAAATTTGAACCCAAAAGTTTTGAAGTTTTGAAATTTAAATAGTTAAAACCCTAATGTTTTGAAAAAGGTTTCAAAACTTGCCCTCAAGTTTTGGAATTTAAAAGTTGATTAAAAGGTTTAATTAGAAATGTTAAATTCTAAAACTCTAGTAATGTTTTGAAAAGTTCAAATCACACCCTTATGGTTTTATTAATTAATTAAGGAGTATAATTAAAAGAGGTTTAATAAATCCATAAAAGTTTAGGTTAACCATTTAATTGAATTAAAAGTGTAATTGTTAAAGTTAACCATATAGTATTTTAAAAGTATAAAATACACCCTATACTATATATAACATTAAAAGTCTAACATTATATATGTATGAGTAAAAGTCAGTCTTACCGTTAGTAGGCCTCATTCACGAAGCTGGTCTATAAGGGGTGTTTAAGGAAATTGCCTATAAAATGGCGATTGAATGGGTATCCACTCTTACCCACCGCACTCTTGACTAGTGGAGGGTCGTTAGCCGAACGGGTAGGATAGGACGAAACCTTCCATTATAAGTATAATGAAATACAAAGTAACTAAATGTTTTTCAAATTCCCAATCTTAGTTACTTAGGCAAAAGTGAATTGATGCAATTCCATGAAATTACACTTTGTGCCCTTGCGAAGACGTTAGTGGAGCGTGTGTGGTTTACCGGCACACTAAATGGTTCTAAGCAAAGGTAGCAAAGGGTGACTCAATGTTTGTCATAGTTCGGTGGAGCGTGTGTGGTTTACCGGCACATCGAATAGGTGATTGTAACATGTGAGGGCACCATGTAGTTTGCATGGTTATTCACACCCGCTTTGTGATCCTCGGCATCCCAGTCACAAACAAGAGGGGCATATCGAGATTTAAACATGCCATTGAAATGTTCAATGAATCTCAAAGGATCTAGGAGTTTTCATAGATTTAAAACTTAAATTTCTTTTTCGTTTTTCATGGTGGAAATTAGTGAATCGTCATTCACTTACCTTCAAATGTTCTGCAATTTGGGTTACGGCATCCCTCTCCCGAGTTGTAGGATATTGTGTTGGGTCCTAGCCTTGGAATTTCATTTGGGTGATTTACCAAGGACTCAATCAATCAACTAACTTGAATTCGTTTTTCTCCCGATGTCAAAGTTCGACAACTATGGTCTTCTCAAATCCCGTGGAACAAGCATTCCACATGAAGATGATATTCCACGATTCGATCGAGGAACAAGAAATCATGCTTCACTTCCTCCTCCTCCTCCAATTATTCTCCCTAACCCACAAGATTGTAAAATTGAAAGGTTCAATATCACTCAAGCCCTTTTGGCAAGTAAACATAAAGAGGGCAAGTCGGTGTGTGCACACGTCTTAGGGATGAAGTCACACATTGATAGTTAAGAATGATGGGATCCGTTGTCGGTGAAGAGATGGCTGTTGATTGGGTTCTTCAGTCACTTCCTAACTCGTATAGTGAGTTCGTAAGAGAGTACTATATGATGAACCACGACGTGACACTTATAGATCTCACCTACATGCTTATTGCTGCTGAATCAACAATGGTTTGGCGCAATAGAAAAGCAAAGTTGATTGGTGAATCTGCCTTCAAGACCTCTATGGATATAGACAATGGCAATGAAAGACATGCAATGATCGAAAAGTTTGATCATAAGAGAAAGGCGATGTCTGAAGTAGTTCCATGTGTTGTTCCAAAGGAGTCAATTTGCTTTTATTGCCAAGAGAAGGGGCATTGGAGACGAAGTTGCCCTATTTACCTAAGAGATCTAAGAGATGGGAGAGTCAAAAGTATGACTACGCTTTAGGTAAGAATCCACTATCTAACTCCATTAAGTTCCTATTCATTGATTCTTAATACATGATGTGATAAGATTGCATTTGAATGTTTTGAAGGATCGGTGAAAAGAAAGGAAGCTTGATAAGAGAGCAAGATGAATCTAATCACAAGAGATGGATCTTGATCGCATGGACTTGAAGATTGGATTTTGAGCTTAGATAGTTATGATAGAGTTGTTAGAAATTTTCTTTTTACATAGTTTTCAATAGATTTTGCATTGTAAGGACAAATGTTTTTCCGCTGCTTTTATAAATAAAATAAATTTTGTTTGACTTATTTATTTGTTTACTTCCTTGCAATGAAATCGTTATGAAAATTGATGTTTGCATATTTCTACAACGAATGGATATGATTCTTAGTTATGGAAATGTCAAGAATTTACCAAATAGGGAGAGTTTCTCATCGCCCAAGTTTCAATTGGACAGAAACTTGGAATCACGCAACTTGGTTGCACGTGAATGAGAAATTTCATATTTGGAAATTAGACTAATTCATTGACAAAGTGTCAAGTGAAGGACTAGGAGATCGAGTACACAAAGTTGTGTGTTGATCAAGTTCACCATAAGAGTAACAAAGATATTCGTCATGATTTACTAAAGGCTTAGTAAATATGATTACACTTACAAGATTAAGTGTAATTTTGAATTGATTAAAGGGTTTAGATCAATAGCAAAACGAATAAGAAGAATCAAGTAGGCAGAAAGATAAGAGTTTCTCCATTCTAAGAAGAAGGGAGAGTAGCTTTTATGCTTTATGATAGGTCTTAATGATTAAGAACCATATCTCAATTGATCCTCTAAGTGAGTCT